TCACAGCCAAGATTAAGTACAAGTTACAGTCTGAAGTTTTATGAGTGAGTGGCTCAAATCAGTTCTTTAATTCACTGGGTTTCTCTATAGCATAGACAAAACCAGGGACATTAGCAACTGGTATACCACATACAAGCACTACCTATTGCAGACTGTGACTTGAGTGCATCAGCAAAGCACAAAATCTCTTGGTGGGCCACGCACATATTCAACTAAAAATAGAATATTACAAACAATGACACAATAAAGTACACTTACCATCTTCCAGTTGTTCACTGCTGGCAGGTTTACTACAACTGATATTGTTTCTTGGCTTCTGTCACAGCCAAGATTAAGTACAAGTCACAGTCTGAAGTTTTATGAGTGAGTGACTCAAATCAGTTCTTTAATACACTGGGTTTGTCTATAGCATAGACAAAACCAGGGACATTAGCAACTGGTATACCACATACAAGCACTACCTATTGCAGACTGTGACTTGAGTGCATCAACAATGCATGCACATCTCTTGGTGGGCCACGCGCATATTCAATTGAAAATAGAATATTACAAACAATAAGACAATAAAATAAACTTACCATCCGCTAGTTGTTCACTGCTGGCAGGTATACTATAATTGATATTGTTTCTTGGCTTCTATCACAGCCAAGATTAAGTACAAGTCACAGTCTGAAGTTTTATGAGTGAGTGGCTCAAATCAGTTTTTTAACCCACTGGGTTTCTCTATAGCATAGACAAAACCAGGGACATTAGCAACTGGTATACCACATACAAGCACTACCTATTGCAGACTGTGACTTGAGTGCATCAGCAAAGCACAATATCTCTTGGTGGGCCACGCACATATTCAACTAAAAATAGAATATTACAAACAATGACACAATAAAGTACACTTACCATCTTCCAGTTGTTCACTGCTGGCAGGTATACTACAACTGATATTGTTTCTTGGCTTCTATCACAGCCAAGCTTGAGTACAAGTCACAGTCTGAAGTTTTATGAGTGAGTGGCTCAAATCAGTTCTTTTTAATCCACTGGGATTGTCTATAGCATAGACAAAACCAGGGACATTAGCAACTGGTATATCACATACAAGCACTACCTATTGCAGACTGTGACTTGAGTGCATCAACAATGCACACACATCTCTTGGTGGGCCACGCACATATTCAACTGAAAATAGAATATTACAAACAATAAGACAATAAAATAAACTTACCATCTTCCAGTTGTTCACTGCTGGCAGGTTTACTATAACTGATATTGTTTCTTGGCTTCTATAACAGCCAAGATTGAGTACAAGTCACAGTCTGAAGTTTTATGAGTGAGTGGCTCAAATCAGTTCTTTAATCCACTGGGTTTCTCTAGAAAATAGACAAAACCAGGGACATTAGCAACTGGTATACCACATACAAGCACTACCTATTGCAGACTGTGACTTGAGTGCATCAACAAAGCACAAAATCTCTTGGTGGGCCACGCACATATTCAACTAAAAATAGAATATTACAAACAATGACACAATAAAGTACACTTACCATCTTCCAGTTGTTCACTGCTGGCAGGTTTACTACAACTGATATTGTTTCTTGGCTTCTATCACAGCCAAAACTGAGTACAAGTCACAGTCTGAAGTTTTATGAGTGAGTGGCTCAAATCAGTTTTTTAATCTTATGGGTTTTTAGATACTCTATACCATAAATAAATTCTTGGATATTAGCAACTTGTACCACCTACAATGCACTTGCACTTGTGACTTGGACCATGATCTTCATATTCAACTGAAAATACAAGATCACTTAAATCACAACAATAAAATAAACTTCCTATCTTCCAACAGACCCTTTTCCTATGACAGTTATTCCCCTTAGCAGCCAATCTTGTAGGGCAAATAAGTGAATTATCCTCTTTCAGCAACCAATTTTAAACATGCATGCAATAAATATTTGGGAGGGGGGGGATATTTACAATCTTATGATCATGAATAATATAGGCTTTAACAAATGTATATTCATAAGAAAAATAGTGTTATCTTTACCTCAGTAACTAGTATAACAAATTGAACTTGCTTGCTCAGCATGATTTTAATCTTTTAAACATGTGCGATAATGCCCAACTTTGGTGCCAGGCCTATTACTGGAAGAAGAAGTAATGAATGAATCTGGGAATGTTGCCCTACAATATGGCGACTAAGGGGAATAACTCTCAGGCAAAAGATATAGGAAAAGGGTCTATTGATGAATTGTGTGTATTGCAGGTATAGGAAAAACTACGTACATTAGTAGCTGTTACCTTTTTTTTGTTTTTGTTATGCTTGTAACGGGAAATATCTTTTTTAACTTGCTCTTTGGACTATCTGAATATTTTGAAATGGCATTCTAGGTCTATCAGTGATATTTTAGCCCAATAATTTCATTGATTGTTTCTCATACGAAAAAATAAAACTATTTTCAAATTCAGCTAATAGTAGTATGTGTATTATATACGAAAAACAGATCAAATAGTTATTCTACAGAGTAACGTGTTATGTTTTTCTTTCGCTTAAGGTGAAGAAGTTCTGGCAATATATTGTACTTATTTCATGACAATGCATAATTTAAACAATGATATTTTGATTATTTCCATTTTTATTTTGTGTAAAAATAATAAACATGGGCTACAAACATTGACATAAAACACATTAAGATCTCCAAACCTGTTGTTCTCTTTTTTATTTCTATTTTATTTACCTCCCCTTCTTTCCGTGCATCCAAAGCTTTCGCGGCCGACAACTCGAATGAAGTCATAGTAACAGTATCCGGGTTATTTCCACAAGTAACGTTCGGAGCGGATACTGTGTAAAAATCCGGAATTTTTAGAGATATTTAAGGTCATGTCTCAAACATCAAATAATGTCTCAATTTCTCAAACGTCAAATATCAAATAATGATTATCAATTACTAGTAAATATATTCAAGCAGCTGATCAATATTCGAAATCTTTGCAATGTAAAGTGCAAGCCAGGTTCAGAGGTTGATAGGGTAGCGGAAACTGATAGTTCAACATGTTGTTGAATCAATGTTCCTCGTTCTTTACATATACATGTAGTTTTGTCGAACTTGATACATAGTAAATCTGCATGTTGACTAACTTATCTTCCTTTTTTGTGCGTGAAAACTTTGTATATCCGGCCAGCATAGCTTTACTTCTCATGCATCTCTCGTTGTAACCAATGAATTATAACAAGTTAAGGGTTTGTATTATGATTTCGGAAGATAAAATACATTTATAAAGGAAGTTTGCCCCAACACTAAACATGTTTGTATGGACCAAACCTGTCTGGATGTTTTCTTCCTCGTGTATTTTGCTTTTTCTATCTCTGCTCCTTTACACCGTCCGCACACTTTCGCGCTCCGTAACTCTTTGTTGACAATATAGGATCTACTTCCTTGGTAACCGATTCTCATTCGGAAAAACCTCTGTCATTTTCGTACGCAATTTAACCAATATTTCCCAGTATTTCCGAATGCCTCCTTCATAGACGAGTTATGTCCCTTTGTTTTATTTTTTTTATTGATAGGCCTAAAATACGCAAGTTGGACTCTTACAAAGAATTTACTTCTGTGAAAAAGCCGTGAACAGAGAGAAGGATTTTCAAAGATTTTATGCATTTTCACAATATAATCATTAGAGCCTTGTCCTAATACCAGAGCTCCTGACCCTGGGGCCATGAAATTCACAATTTTAGAATAGGCACCCTTCATCATCATAACTATACTATGTTTTTTGAATCCCAGGAGCAGAGAAGACGATTTTCAAAGAATTAATGAATTTTCACTATATGTAATCTATTTAGCCCCGCCTTAGCACCATAACCCCTAACTCTGGGGGCCATGAATTCCACAACAGTTTTGTAGAGGACTCAATGCTTATTACATTCATTCCAACGGTTTGCATTGGCGGATCCAGAGGAGGGTTCCGGGGGGTTGGAAACCCCCCTTCTTTTTTGCCAAGTGGAGAGAGAGAGAGAGAGAGAGAGAGAGAGAGAGGATAAAACGTTTTCAGAGAATAAATATTTGTACGTCTAACTTATGTATTGAATAGATTCTCACATACTTAGTTTCCTCCATTCACCTTCACTATTACTTTTTTTTTTATTATTAAAGATTGGTAGAAAATATATGCTTCTTATTTTTATATATCTTATATATGATATGTAACATGCGAGGTTAAATTTGATATTAGATTCCCGCGATATTTAGCTGTGTTGACTATATATGTACCGCTTTTTGATCATATCTTTTGAAGGAACTAACATGTAAATCTTTGTTTTTAACCCCACCCGCACCAACCCCAAAAAAGTTTATCAAATTGTAAAAGAAAATTCATTGTACTATTCGGAAATGCTGCAAATCCAGTCAGTTTTAAGGCTTCAGTAGTTTTTGAAATGTGTTTTTTACTCGGACTCGGTGTACCTTTTCAAAGAAAAAAAGGGACGTAAACAAAGATATTATTTTCCTTAACCTTTTATCTTTCCATACGTGTGTGTGAATCTTTGCTTGAGAGTGTGTAGGAGGGTGATGGGGGTGGTTAGAGGGACACAGCCCAGGAACCCCCCCCCCCTTTCACAAATGGCTGGATCTGCCCTTGGTTTGACTGCTTGATGTCCAGGAGTAAAGAAGAAGATTGCGTTGATTTTAATGATTTTGGTCCCCCAGGCCCCAGGGGGACAGAGACCATGAAATTCATGATTTTTGTTCCCCTTTTCCCATAGATGCTTTATGCCAAATTTGGTTGAGTGGTTGCAGAGAAGAAGCTGAAAATGTTGAAATGTTAACACACAACGGACGACGACAGACAAAAACGGATAGCAATTAGATCACCTGAGTGACTCAGGTGATATAACACTGAACATTAATTAGGATGTACGAAGACAACAGAATAACAGAAAACATTGGAACGTTCATTTTCTTTAAGAAACAATTAATAATTTGTTACATGATTTTGTTTATTTGGCACTGATAATACTGGTACAATATAATATAATTGCAAATGTCACTTTTGAAATTGCACTTGTCCCATTTTGTAGGAGTTTGCCATCTTCTCATATCTTTGGAAGTGTTCTGATCTAAATTCTGAAAAATATAATGTGTTCGAGAAAATAAAGACAAAGTATATTATAATAATTATTACTTTATCAGCTGATATTTCAAGAATAAGGAATTTCTAGACTTTTTTTCTCCTATTTCTTAGATAGGGCGATATGGATTTTTATTGCAGTGCAAATTTATTTTATTTAAAATTGTGGAATAAGATTTGATTTATAATCTTATGTAATTTATCAAACCTGTTTAGAAATTGTCAATAAACTGCACTCTGTTGAGGTCCACGCGACCTACATTAGCTAAAGCTTCTCGGTGGTTACGAGTTTTTCTCTGGAATATAAAAATAAACAGTTAAGAGCACAGGATAATTTTTGTTTTCTTCGTGTATATTTAGGACGTTTAAAATCAGTTAGATAGTAGATGGTATGCATAGGCGTCGGATGCAAATTGAGAGGGGGGGGGGGGGCTAAACCAACAAAAAAAGGTAAACCCCAATTTTCAATGCCTATATAATGTCTATTTTTGGAAAAAGGGGGGCTAACAACTCCCCATCCCCCAGGTTCCGACGCCTATGGTATATGAACGTACCACATAGGGCCGATGTCTGGCACAGAAGCCTGGTTTTTCTCGCGGACTTTTGGGTCGGGGTCGTGTGTAGTCTATCTTTTGTCTCACACACTCGTGTCTGAAGTCAACCCGGGCCAACCACTCACACTAAAAAAATAATTTCTCTAAAAACAGAGTTCAATATTTCTGCCAAGTTTCATCTTTGCTTACAAAAAAATATAACTAATTAGCTGTACATCATTTGGACCTACCACATGAGTGGGGTACTCCTCTGTTGGGACCAGTCTCCGTGTTTCTGATTCATTGACTAACCGTGTCAACTGGGACTAGAATAAAAGAACACAATATAATTATAGACGTCTGAAAATAAATAATTTTGATGGAATAGTAAATTCATTTCATGTGTACATGTGCTTACCCATTCATCCATCCGTTCTTTCCATTCATCGACCAGAGGTCTGTAAATTATGTTTCGCTGTAAAATAATATATTTTTCGTTAAATCCTTTTTTTGGGGGGGGGGGGGGATTATTAATTTAGAAATTCAACTTTTAAAATTTTTAATTTAGAATTACATGCCAGTAAAATTTACCATCATTGAATAGTAAATACCAACATTAAAATACTATTTAGAAAGAGTTTAAAAAAAAAAAAAAAAAGGAGCAATATGCATGTATATTTATACGTTCATTGACTTGACATGGAGGGAAAACTTAGCCTGTGGCGATGACATTCTGTGCATACCACCACGCCTGATCAGTGGGTATATAGGTTTCTCTGGGAGGAAGCTGTAACGATGAAAATACTTGGACGTAAGACGAAGGAAATATTGATACTATGAGGTAAATGCCCAAATGGCTGTCAAATTTTCCTTTTCATTGATTTGAGAGAAAATCTCTTGTACGTGACTATTCACTTACTGAATTTTTGCCCTCTGAGGTCTCCAGTTCTGACCATGCCCGGCATTTCTTGTTGGCCTCGTCAGCTTCTGAATATGTGAACAAAAAGTCTAAAGTATCACACCGCGGTCCCCGTGACGGTCCCTCCTTGCCCGCAATGTCAGCTGTTGCATGGCCATCACTGACTGATGAGGACCCCTGCTTTTCAGATACCAATAAGAGCTTAGGATCCACATCTTTGTCCTTATGTTGGCTATCCTCGATATCTTTGTCCTGTAGATCAGATGGCGTGTCGCTCCCAGCCGGGTAGTATCCAATGATAACACAGTCATCCTCAGTGTTTCCTCCCACTAAGGTATCCGACAGTTTGGCAGCGAAATCATCACCAAGGGAAGACTGGTCTGTCTTGCTAAAGCCTTTCTCCAAAGGATACAGTGTCTGTGTCCCTTTTCTGTTGCTGTTGAAGAACATTATATCTTTCCCAGAAGAGCAGCATTTTTCCAGCCCGATATCCGACTGTGGAAGATCATGGTCAACGATAGCTTTCTTCCTTGGTAGAAGTCTGGGTCTTTGTCTCTTGTAAGGGTTAAACTGTAAATATTTTATATAAAAAAAAACAACAACTAAATACCATTTTCAAAATATCGACCCCCCCCCCCCGGCATGTTTCCTCCAACATACCGATTATAATAAAGCTCACTTTAGAGTAGTTTAAAAACATAGTTTCCAAATTTAAATATGTAACAAATTAAAACAACTGAATTGATTTTTCGGTGTTCTGAAAATTGACTGCATAACTTAAAAATTTCAAGAGACTTGAAACACACAAGAAGAGAAGAGAATTTTAAAAAAAACGTATAAATAAAAATAATAGCTTTTGAAATTTCTTTTAAGAAACTTTAAGACAGATTGATAAAATTTACCCTTCTTGCTTTGTAGGCAGTGCAATGAGTAAGTATTACTTTCAATTTCATGTTGAAATTTCAGATATAGGTTTCTTAATTTTTTCACGTCTGGTCGCAATCAAATGGCGCCGTATCTATGACATGACGTTGCCACAATGCAACGGCATTAAAATGGGGATAGTGACGTCATAATGATAAGATGTTTTATGTAAAAAAAATTATATTTTTTCTGCTAAACCCTAAATTTTTCTTTCTTAGTCTAACTTACGAACAGAAAATTTATTTTTGAATAAAATTTCACTTTTATTTTTATTCTCAAGAGGCACGCATCGAATACATGTACAGGTTGTTGATTAAAAGTTGGTATAGATTTGAAAATTTGTCCATTGAATTTCCTTTACTTAAAGATGCATATGAATGTAGTAAAAAGCTTTTTGTGAATGGAAAGAACTCATGGTTTGCATTTATACAGAAATTAAGGAAACTACTGAATATTAAAGATGAAGTTATTTGTTATGGGAAATATAAATTTAAGTCATTTTGTCATAAAATTTTATTAGATTATTATGTGAAGAAATGGTATACAAGTCATAAAAGTTATACTGATGGCAAATTATCCACATATGTGAAACTCAAACAAAATTGGGGTTATGAGAATTATTTATCAGTTGTTAAAAATTTTCATCACAGAAAATCTCTATGTAAATTAAGAATTTCCTGTCACAGCTTACAAATTGAAGTGGGAAGATTTACCAATATTCCTCGAGAAGATCGATTATGTAATAGATGTAATTCTAACAACATAGATGATGAAACTCATTTTTTAATAACATGCAAAAAATTTGATCATCAAAGAAAAGAAATATTTCAGTTAATTAATCATAAATTTCCACTATTTTCAGCTTTAGATGATGAACAAAAACTTTATTGGTTACTCAACACTGAAGATAAGGAAACTCTTAATTTTGTGGGCAAATTTATAAATGATAACATGTTATAGTAGCATTAGTCTTTTACACATACATGCATATTTGATGTATTCCTTTTAGACAGGATTATTGTTAAAATGATTTATGTCAATTACTAATTGTATAATTGTTTTGCTATTCATCGGCTTATCTTTTCCTTATTATTATAACAATCTCATACTTGTCTGTTATGGGCTCTAAATTAGTAATAAAATGTTCTGTTCTGTTCTGTTCTGTACAATAAAAGATGCCATCTATCTAGATCTACTTTTAAAGTATGAACGAAATGAGAATTAAAACATGTCTTGGATTAATAGATATTTAAAAAAAAAATTGACTTACCCGTTTGTTGGAAAAATATTATTGACTCAGGGCCTCTGACGTCACAATCAACTGGAACGCACGTTCAGTTTGCTGTTATTATAACGTCATCTTCCGCGGAATCGAGTATTTTTTATGCAATCACATGCACTGATATACATGTATTATTATTATTTGATTTTCTGTTATATATTTTCCAGGCGCGTAGCCAGCATTGAAATGAAGTGTACGCAGAAAATGGTCGGGGGTCTGGGGGCCGCCCTGAGGCCCCCAGTGGGTCGAAGCCCTTGTGGGGGGCCAGGGGGCGAAGCCCCCGCAAGCTCCTGGATTTTACGAAATTTTTCAGTCATTTTCCTTTAAAAGAAATCACGCTACACCTCTTTTCTCAAGAAAAGTTATACTTCCATGGATACTTCAGGAAGAGAAGGATAATTTGATCAAATTAATTTACGAATATATTGGTACTGGAAAAAAAGTTTCCAAGTGTGACAAGATAAAACAGAGAAGTAATTTAATAAGTTATCATTGGAGTTAAAGTATTTCAAAATATAAACGGGGGTGTGGGTCTTTTGATAACCTTTATATTCTGATAGCTTAAACAATGTGAGAGTACTTATATTCTATAAATCGGTAACATCAGTAAAAGAAGATATTCATAAATGATCTATATTCTTATTTACTTTGTTCAGTAATTTGAAGTTTACTTTTTCTTTTTTTCTTTTTTTTGTTTATCGATATTTATTCTTTACTTCAACTGAAATTCTTGTATAGTCGTCCAAGACCCTTGTAACTTTTTCTTTAGATCAATGTCACTTAGATAGCTTTCCTTCATCAAATACTTTTGTCCTGATAATCAGGCTTACGCGGATTAACCAGTTGAAAATTTTGGTTCAACAATATTTTCTTACTCAAGAATTTTGGAATTCATTTTATAAAAGACTGGATTTTAACGATATTCTGAACAAAATTTGAATAGAAACAATAAGACGTAAAATAATTTAAAAGACAGATAATGCCTCTTTTTCTCAGAATAAATCTCTCTCTTTCTTTTTTTATTCTTTTTTCTTTCTTTCTTTTCTTTTTTTTTTCTTTTGAAAATGATGTGTACGCACTTGCGTACTTGCGTATAGGCAGCTACGCGCCTGTTTTCTATGATAATCAATCGTGTAACACGTTTTTAATACCGTTTTTTGTGAGAGTGCACGTGTGTGTGGGGTGTTGCTAAAACGCGGAACGGAAAACGGAACGGAAAGCGGAACGGAACGGAAAACGGAATGTATTATTTGGGATTAAATCACTTAAAATACACAGATTTTATCATAAATGATCTATTCTGTACATATTCAATCCACCACTATTAAAAACAAGTTGATTTTGTCATGCTCAGTCTCTTATTTACGAAAATCGCTAATATAGCAGTCACCTAGAATCGAATTTGAAAAGGGGGGGGGGGGGATAAACGAACTTGAAAAGAATTTGACAAGCAAAAACACAAAAAGAAGACAATTGCTTGGTTAGGGGGGGGGGATAAAACACAAAAAGAAAACAATTGTTTGAGTCGGGTAGGGGATAAGTTCCAACTCCAACATCTTTCAGTAAAATTTTTTACACTAACTTTAATACTACCAGGGACCTATATACTATAACTTAGTATACATATAGGTCCCTGATACTACATAAGTTACATTCACAAAAAGTGTGAAGATGTCAACTTGACCGAACATTTCCATAGTAAATAGGTTTTGACCGGGGGGGGGGGGGTATTTGATATCTAGATGAACCGTGGAAAGAGAAATAAAATGTAAAAATAAAATTATTAAGATTACGTTTAGGGCAAACCTTTACGGCAAGCTCGAATAAACATCTCTTATACACACTGGTTATTAAATTTTATTCAAAAGAGAGTCGCTTTCTATATATTTAAATTCTGGATAGACAAAGTTGGAAAACTTTCATGTGGTAGATATAATACAGAATCTTTGCATTCAATGAAGTTAAATTTTGTGAGTATTTTTTGGGAGGGGGTGTATATGAATGACCCCGTAAAAATGAGTTTGTTCTCCCGCTCAACGGAAAGGTCTGAGAAGTTGTAATAGGATGCTCCCTTTTTTGTGTCCAACATATATAAAAGGTTTAATAGATCAATTTTTAATGTTGCTGTGTACTACACAGACCCGAAACTGCCACTCCCCCTTTCATGATTCGCGATTTCGACACTGCGTGTATAATCTGGATATCATAAGTACTTTCTACAGACATTGACACTGGAAACAAATTGAAAGAGGGGGGGGGGGTCAGTAAAAAAATTCCAACATACAACAAATTTGACAAGCCAAAATAAGGGGCATATGTCCTTTGCCCAAACACGAAAATCCTATTTCGTGTGTGTGTGTTGGGGGGGGGGGGGTCGAATTTCTTTCAGTACCATTTTTCCACGGAGGGTGTGCATGACTCATGAATTTATAATAGTTTACAATTAATTTTTATCAGAAATGATTTTTACAACAAGAATATTGCTCTTTTATGTGATTTATAGATCTAATCTATTTTATTTGTTCGACAAAAATTTTCCGTTTTCCGCTCCGCGTTTTAGCAACACCCGTGTGTGTGTGGGGGGGGGGGGGTGTACTGGTATTAAGAAAGAAGGGGGATGTCACTCGTATAGAGACGTCACCATATGCCAATGATTTCACCTATTGTAATCAAATTTTCTAGGGGGGGGGGGTCCTAATCTATGGAATAGTCATGAGCGTGTTTCCCCCAAAGCCATTACTATTTTCTCCCCATCAAAATTAGTGGATTTTGTATGAAAGGAAGGCCTATACCGTTGCGCCGAGAGAGGGTGTTGAGAAATTGGGTCATAGGTATGGCATTAAAATTAGGAGTTTACAAAAAAATTTACTCCTTGGTAAATTCCAATTAAATCTCAAGTATGAATTTATATTAAATTCGTATTATATGTCTAAATCTGATGTTTAATTGGGTTATAATTGGAACTTAATTATGAATTAAACGCAACTTTTCGTGCAGTTAACAACGCTTTCGTACAATAGAAAAGCTACATGGAGTCATCTCATTTGTTACACAATTTAGATGTAAAAAGACATTTATCGTTTTTATTCAGTAAACGTCCAAATATAAAGTAGATGACTCTGTAGCGTCTGTTATTTCAAGTTCAATGAGATACTCAGTTAAATCGACTCGACATATGAATTGAAAACTGTTTTATATACTGATACCAAAGAAAAAAAATAGAGAATTTCCAATGAAGTGGAATAATTCTCCGGACTATCGCACGAGGATTAGTACATTAAAATATTAGACCGATACAAAAGTAAAATGTAGAGAGTTACGGATAACCGGGGGATTAGCTTCCGAAGCAGGGATTAGCTCATTTGACTAACGCACGGGGATTAGTCCATTCACAGAAATATTTAGGGAATCGTTCACCTTTTGCTGCCCAACTTTTATATATGAAAAATATCAGTAGAGGTATAACAAATGTTTATATCTTTAATTATTTATTTTTGTTCCTAAACTAACTCCGTGTTTTTGAAGTATTTCGTTATGCTATAAGCCTGTATATATAACTGTCAGTAGAAAATGAAAGATACTATTTAGAATAGTTTTGTTACCTGTAAATGAAAAAAAGTTAATACCCCCGCGTTTGCGCGGGATTTCATATATGAATAGAAATAATAAAACATCATCGATATAACGTGGGATCATTAAAATTTGTGGTGCCTATTTTCGTGGATTAGCTTGAATTTTACAGGTTCATTGGGACGTAATTTCGTGTATTCTCTTATACCTACAAAAGGAAAAGGCTTTACAACCATAGTTTATTAATACGTGTTTTTCTCTACTCGGAATTTTTAAAAATAAATTCTGCTTTGATAGGAATGTAGGTCAGCTAATAAAGGAGCACAATTATTACCCATTTGAATTCCAACAGTTGGAAAAAAATTGGTCTTCAAAGACTATATATAAATGTTGTCCTCGAGGAACTCCATCTTTTTAATATCAAATTCTGAGAGCGCTTGTGTAGAATCATGGGGGTAGTCTGGGGGAAAAGAATCACTTATTGAATAAAATGCCCCACCCCAACCCCCTCAAAAAAAAGGGAAAAAAAGTGGTCTATTCAAATTTTTGCATTTGAAATTGACTTTACAACACACTGTGACCTAAGACTATTGATTTTGAGGTCAAACAGCAATGTAAAAAAATGCATATCTTGCAAAAAATGGTTTCACTCAAACAATTTTTAAAATAGTTCTTCTTTCTACCCCTGTTTTAACCCCAGCTGTGTACATATGATACATTCCTTGAATTGTCTTCTGTTATTCATTTTGCAGTTTTTTTTAAGAGAAGTGCAAAGTCCAAATGTTTGTTAAAAACTGTGTAATATTCTGACACCATTAATGTCCTTTTTTGATTTTATTATTAAGAAATAATAATAGATATAAAGGCAAAACAATAACAATTTCCCCCTTTTTTTGCACAGATTAAAAAAAATCATTGAAATCAAAGTTAATGAAATGAAAACAAATACTTAAAATATCAGGTTTAGATATTTATTGACAAAACATTCTCAATAAAAAATAAATACTAATAATCACCAAACTGGACGATTCTTTCATCAAGCATGTTTAATTTTATTCCATATAAATTAATTTTATTTTGAAAATCTACTTTTCTAACTATTTCAAAAATAATTAAAATTTCATGAAAGTTTAGAATATTTATCTAAAAAGTCATTACTTTTAAAAATTAATAGCAGCCCAAAAGTTTTACATGTCAAAAAAAATCTTTAAAAAAAATGAAATCCATGGATTTTTATTAAAAAGTATGTTAAAAAGTTAAAACTTATATTCCAGTATTTCTGACTATAACAAATAAATACAATTGTATGCAGAATACACTTTCACAAACTGAGCCCACTAACCCTTTTTTTTTAAAATAATGAAAAGTTACATGTATCATGCTTTTTGTTATAATTACACAAAAATATAAATAAAAAAACGTTTTTGAGATACTTCAATAACTGTGTTAAAATCTGTGATGGGTGTTGTTAATAATAATGATAAAAAAAATACAAATAAAATTTTCTTCTAGATCAGAATGTTAATCATGTTTTTCTTTGAAACAAAAAAAAAAAAAATAATTTTAATGGATTTATAAACATCTATTTCAATTCCACAAGAAAAAACCAAAAATTAGCTCTGTTTACCACCATGGTGCATATCAGTACATGGACACAACAACTGGACTGGCATTGAAAGTTAACAAAATAAAAACAACAATCTTTTTACGGCAATTGAAGCTTCCTGATACATATAATTTAAAAATACCTCATTTTCATGTACAAATAAATGAACACAAGCTTTAAAATATGTTAAAAAAAATATTTTCTTTGTTTCAAAAGGAAATATATTGCACCAAAACTACAGTTGCATGTTCATTCACTGTACATGAAACTCTTCGGTTCTTCTTCATATTTTATAGCAAATTTCATTAAAAGCAATTAACATACATGATCAGCTACTGCCGTAAGAATGAAAAAAATACAGATCATGATATCACATTTCTCAATACCCTTTTTCAGATCTCAAGAAAATTTCAAGACACATAAATAAGTTATTGGCATAATACATTTAGATTAATGAACAGACTTCTTAACGAGATGACATATATATTTGAATTCATATTTATATAGTTTTCTCAATACATGATCAGTGACTCAATTGGTCACATGATTCACAATTTGGCCCCCCTAAGACATTAGCTCTCATTGCACGTTACAATAGGACTTTGTCTCATTAATCCGAGTCTGGGCACTCTCTAAAGCACTTGCACATCTTTTCCTGAAGGTTTTACCTCTCTCTGACAACCTAAATAACAGAAAGTAAAAAAACTATAAAATACAATACATGCATAAATTAAAAGATGGCAAAACAGAGAACTATTTAAGTATTACATAAACATAAAATAACTGAAATTTATTTCAATTCACAGATTATGGTGATTTTTACTACAAACAAATAACAATTAAAATTAAATAGATAACTTAATTCTCAGAATTGAAATTTTTTAAAATTACTTTTTTAAAGTGAAATTTAATGAAGTTAAGGTTCCACTCCATTAGATACCTTTCTAATGGTCGCCTTGTCAGGCGTTCCTGGCCATACAATCTAGATCCTGTCAGCCCCTCCCTACCACGGACTGTCACACCCCTCTTTGTATCTTTTTCTGTGGGTGCTTTCTCATCTTTGCTTGACCTACAGAAGGAGTCGAATTCTACAGTAGCATTCCCTATGTCCCCCATTGTCATCTGCAAGAAGGAGTCCTCATCTTCAGTGTCTGGTTTATCAGACTGTGGCACTATAGGGGAAAACATGGGGCCATTTTCTAGATCCACCTGAAATATTGATAAAGAAAGGTAGACAGGGATCAAGAAATGGTACAAAAATTGTCGGAATAATGTTAAAATGGTAAATATGCTACTTAAAAGTTAAAAATATCACATGCACTGCATTTATTCCTGTTTTCAATTAATACACATGTCTGGCATAATTATTATTGTGCACCACGTGCCCTCTTCATTTTAATGGAAACAAAGAGAGACAACTCAAACCATCATGATTAAGTGGACAGAATTAAAGGGGACATGGATTACAGTGTACTAAAATGTCGAAGTTTTTACTGGAAGCAAATAAAAAAGAAGAAAGGGTCAAAGTCTCAAAAAACGGATATAATTTGAAGACTCCAGTCTGTAATTATTTAGCCATTATTAGAAATTATGCATCCTGTAAGAGTAACCAGGTAATTGACGATTTTTGTATAATATATGCATTAATTAAGATTTACTTGTTTGATCCTAATTGATAATCAATTAAAGTTCCCAAAAATACCAACGGTTGTCAGTACTAATTCTATAGCCTCCAGGTACTTTGCTAAATGGCACTGATAACATTGAACTACTCTCATAATACGATGTTGAAAATTTAGGCGAGGCGTTCTTTTACTTCTGTGAAATTTTACGCGTTTTATTTTTTTTACGAATTTATAAAACTCGTAAAAATTAGAAAAAATTAGCAGCACGTAAAAAATACCCATTATACGGTATATATGGACATGTGTAATGCTAATTCAAGATTATGCTAACCACTTTTCAAAATACCCAGTGAATGTTTTAATTTTGAATGTATATGTCAATTTGTACAAGATGTTATACAAAGAAATCTGTCATACTTTCGGTGGAATATTTTCAGAGAATTTTGGTTGATGTGGAGGCGGTCTAATTGGTCGTCCACTGCGGGTCTGAGATATTCCCAGAGGAGTAGAGGAGATATCAGAAGAGCACAGTTTAGGTCGTTTCCATGGAGACAGGCATTTATTGGCGTCTATTTCTGATATGAGCTTCAATGGAGATAACTTGGTACACTCTGACTCATCTTTCTGGATAATTCGACGGATCTGAAAAACAAAAATATACTGACATGTTTTATATTGTTCAAATTAAACCCGCATTAAGGTAGGATTCTTCTCATATTTCTTGTATTTAAAAATTAATGAAATTTTCACAGAATCAAGAAGACAAGAAGACAATATTACTAAGTGATAGTATCAGTAAGATTAAATTTGACCTTTTTATATTATGTCAGGTCAAGGTCATTATCTCTTTCCTTGACATTATGAATAAGAAAATACTGTTGCCAATCATGTGATGCTTACTTCTATTTCAAATGTTTAAAGATTGTTCTTTTTGCATAAAAAGATTTTACTATATCAGTTCTATAGCATGATATTACCAAATTTACATAAATAATTTAACTAAACTGGATATTGGCTAATCCGAATTTTCTCTGTTTTTCTTAATTTTTTTTTTAGGATATATTAGTTATTTTCATATGCTTCCTATATTTAACTTTTTCTTATTTTCACATATAATAAAGTAGTCTTATAAATGTACTAAATGATACAAAAACAAAAAGTTTTGATCGTTTACTAGGAGAGAAAAAATACTTTTTATGGATTTTTGGCTCAACTCTGTACTTTAAGGTAATTCCACCCTCTTATGATGTCATAGGTTTTTGCAAAAACTGTATTTAGTTTAAATTCATACGTTATAGAACAATATCTTTTGGAAGAATGCTTTACAATAGGTGCAGGGGTTCAAAATTCCTCAAGCCCGACGTCCCGGACTAACAAATTCCGGATCCGGACTCGGCATTTAGAATTCGCCAAAGTCCTGGGACTTGGCTATGTTTCTTGTTTATTTTTTTTTTAAGTTAAAAAAATGATCGTAAAGCTAAAAATAAAGCAAATTCTCAACTGTATTAAGTAAAAATGTGGGTTTGTGGGCGTTAAAATACCCATAAAACATTACGAACGTTTCGAAAATACAATCCGTCTTTTTATTTTCCGTTGCGGTTAGACTCTTGCTTTTACGCAATTCCTCATGTTTCCTCCTACAGGACAAACGGCAATGAGTTTGTTAAATTTCGGTTTTACCAGCAATAATGCTAAAAAAGGAACGACAGTCAATGAACCATAGCTGTGACTTACAGCACATTCTAATTTCTATTTATTGTAACAGATGGTTTATTCAGTAGTGAGTATTTGTAAAAGTTATTGTAATGTACCAATAATCTATCAGTGTTAAAATACTCATGTATGACTATATGACAGTTTATGGAGGAAAAATAAAACATATATTAATACATGTAGACTTTATTCATTCAATGCAACAAATGAAAATAAATTATAAGTAACATAAATTTAATGATGTATAGGTACATGTAAATATGGACTCTGAAATTTCTTCCTCGGACTTGCCTAAAATTTACTCTTTAAGTCCTGGACTTGACCATGACAAAAAAAAATTTGAACCCCTGTAGGTGTAATGATAAATATTATTAAGTAAAATAATTTTAAAAATGCATATTTTCTTTATATAATCAATTATTCAATCTTTAAAAAATGTTGACAAGGGCAATAACTCCTTCTAAGGTCTCTTTATTCAGGCATTTGCTTTACTGTACTTCTAATGTAAATACCTTCCCTGATATTTACAATTCAAAAGTATCTTATAAGTAGGAAGGATTTAGGAACATTCCATGATTCAGCATAAGAAGTATGTATTTGAAACAGTTTTTTACATATTTTACATAATACTTTTTACCAAAAATGTGCAATTTTTGTATGTTGACATACACTTCTGTTTATTAATGTTTTGCATCTAAAATAATATGGTGACCTATACATTTCTTTGCAATAATTGGAAAATTTAAAGAACATTAAATGAAAATAAATGCAGCTTTTGTACTTTGAACCACTAAAATTGTGAGGGTGGAAACACCTTCATTGGAAGCGTTTAAAAGCTAACATAGTTCTAGTTTGTTTGAAAAATCATATTTATTTGATACATTTTGAAAGTTTAGTCCCTTATTATTAATCTAACTTACATTTGAAAATTTCTGCAGGTCTTTGATTGTCTAAAAATTATAACTAAATTTGTTGTTCTATTATAATTTTGAGAGGCAGAAAAGAAGATATTTTCATACGCCACTATTCCGCCAAAAATATAGTCCCTGCTATTTTTCAAACGCAGTTTACCATTTCTATTTAACATTGTACATTTGTAATGAGGAAAGAAAAATAAGGTCTTTAAAATCCTTTACACCTAAATATATAAGACATATAAGCAAATATACTTTGAATGTTTCATCTAGTCAGAAACCAGAGAAGGATCCTACCTTAAAGGAAACGTTTGGTCTAAAAAAACTTTTTGATATTTCATTCATTGAATGGTCAATAATGAATTTTACCTGTTACTGCCATTTGTTTTAACTTAATTATTTAGTAATAAGACATCAAAGTTATGAGTAAACTGGCTGATGGAGGCTGCCATGTTGAGAGATAAAGTTATCGCGCTTGCTAAATATTTCCCACAATCCTCACTTTTATGACGTATTGCAGGCAATTCCGCTCTAAGTGTAAACACTATCATGGCATAATCAAGTTGTGAAAATGTGCCAATTAAGTGTGTGCATTTTTATTTTGGATATGAATATATTATAGTAAATATAATTTCACATTCCTATGCTTCTAGTGTTTCAGAATTTAGGAAAATAAAAGAAGGAATTAATAATAAAAAGCCATAAACTGGTTGGATTTAACCTTAATTAAAAACTTAGCTGCAAAGGTTGTATTATTTTACAAAAATTTAACTAAAACTTTTTAAAGTTCTAATGTGTCCTCAAAGGATGTTAATTTAATTGCTATAAATTAACAATTGCTTAGATTAGCTTATATCTGAAAGAAGGAATTTTATTTTTCTGCAGTCATAAACACATTGACTCTTAGCCATCTGGCATTTAATCTGTCTGCTCTACGTCAGCAGCGGCCATGATAAGGTTTTCCCCATGCTGCTCCGATTAAGCTATTAAAATCCAATTTAACTGCTGTTATCAGCAGCGCAGTCTGGTTAGATGCAGCTTTTCTTTTTATATGAGAGGTACAGTTTTATATATAAAAATTTTAATTCTGACCAAACGTTCCCTTTAAATGCAGAATTAAACAATCCATAAACATTTCTATGAACGCATAAACATTTTTATGAACTCATATACATTTTTAATATTTGAAATCTGGGAAATCTTGCCAAATTCATATTTATACCAAGTCACTATGTATAATGTCATGTCAGATGCCAGTTTTACATTAACTTTTAAAATACTGTAAAACTTTCTAGTCCGAACACAGATATTGCAAATTCACAGCTATATTGAAGTCTTCTTGGATCCCAAACTGCATAATTATTACAAATTCCTTATAAGGATATAAGGAATTATGGATATAACGAATTAATATCACAGTGACTTCATTATAATCGAGTTTTACTGTACCTGTTGATCTCTTTGTTTCTCCAGTTTACGTTGTTTCCATAGTGACCTTCCTCTCATCGGAGCCTTGTTGCTGCTTGGTTTTCTTAACGTAGAACGGTTGTTACTCAGTTTCCTACAATATTGTAGATACATGTAATTTTCAGATTTTTAATCTGTAATAATATGATTGCATGACTATCAATTGATAAAATAAAATCAAATAATTTAGAGTGAAAAATATCATTTATATCTTCTAAGCTTGTTTAAACAATTTAAACAAAGAATTTGAAAAGTTTAGCAATACAGATGCACACATGTATCAACATTCAACATTGCTACTAAACAATCTGTCTGTAGATGATCCCAATTTTATCTGAACCTGATGGCTGAATCCAGTTCTTTAATCCAGCTTTTCATGTCTTCTGGATCATTTGAAAACAGCAGTAAACTCTCATCTTTACAGGTAATCTGTAAAATACAGAATTTCATGTTTTGCACATTTACATCTATGTAAAAGTATATTAAGCTGAATTAAAACTGAAAGTGACAATACATGACAATCCTTAAAGACAATTTTATCCACTGCTTTAAAAACATTTTAACATTCAATTTATGCCATTAATAAATGGTTGAGAATCTACCTTAAACATGCCCCCTGCCTCTGTCTTTTCCTGTGAACCCCGTTTGGTTCCCCCGAACACCGTTTCCAGTTGACAGTGTTTTAGTGGCAGCACACAGCAGCAGGTGTAGGAGTTAGTGATACTGTCTAGTAACCGCGGCTTCCCGTAAAGCAAGATGTCTGAGAACAGGAAGAACATCCTGTCGTGGGGTTTGCCACCTCTTTTGGAAACCTGTAATAATGAGGAGGAGATTCAGTGGCGGTTCTTCAGTTGACAAAAATTGAAAACAAGGTCAAAGCAAGTGGAGGAATTGATCACAATCTATTCCTTCAATTTAGTGTTAGATAACATTACAAATAGTTCTACAGTGGAGCCTCATTTATCCAGACGCTTTGGTTCCTTGTCAATTTGTCCGGATATGTGAATCGTCCGTATATCTGAATTACCAATTAAACAAGGCAATGTAACATTGAAAAATTCTGTTCTAAAGAAAAGTCGTCCAGATACTGAAGCGTCTGGATATCTGAAGGTCCACTGTATAGAGTAGGAAAAGGAACCAAGCATGAAATAATTTTGTTAGTTTTCTTGTATTGGTGAATTATTTTCTCTTAAAATCAAACTACTACTGGAAAGAAAAGTGTGGGGATTTTTCTGAATTTTGTATTTATCAACAGTCAGGGGTGGTACTGAAATCAGTCATTTTTGAAAATGATGATTTTCAGTCATTAAATTGATTTTTAATAATGATGGAAATTCATCATTTTTTAGTAAAATGATGAAAAACAGTCATTTCTATTTTGAAATTTATTTTAGAAATAGAGTTATCTCTGATATTAAAAATGACTGTTTTTCATCATTTTTTATCAAATTGTTAGGTCTGGGCGCACTTAATTATCTCATTAGTTTTACGGGGCGCACTAAATTATTTTGGTTTCAATTACTTGTCAAGATGTTTCTCTACACAAGGGTCTATGGCAGGATAGTGTACTATATCTAATTACTGTAGTAAATGGGATGGGAAAATTGACTTGAGAATGGAAATATGATGAAAAGACGTCATATTTACAAAAATCAGAAAATTGTGTACATTATATACTTAGAAGAAATGACCATTATCCATCATTTTCAAAAATGACTGATTTCAGTACCACCCCTGACTGATCAAGCAGCTGATTAAACTGTATTGTAAATGTTCATCTTTGCTAGCCAAGGGTTTTCAGTCCACTCTGCTGGAGCACAGCGGACCAAAAACCATAGCTAGTGATAACGCTGTTATATAAACATAGGTAATCAGAGATTACAGAGCTCACCTCAACGAATGTTGTCTTTAAGTAAGGCAAAGTCACACAATTAACCAACAAAAAGTGCACATTCCAAAAATGAAAATATTTAAGCAATTTTAATCTGATACTTTGAAATAGACCTACATAAAAAATTTAAACTAGTTCTTCTTCATGAAAATGTAATCAAAATCCAGAATCTGAAGCAAATTTGAGAGTTTTCATCTCTTGATGCAACATTTGTGCAAGTTTGGTTTATACAATGTTATATAAGCCTTATAGTTTTTTGGTAATAGACCTGCACCCATAACTTTTACCTGGTCTATTATCTGAAAAATGTATGTCGAATTCAGCATCCGAAGCAAGTCCATTAGTGTGCATCCTAAGATGTATCGTCCGTGCAAGTTTGGTCATTAAAGAACTTATAGTTACTTGGAAATGAATCACTCACAAAAAACTTTAACCCATTCACTCAACCAGAAAATGTAGGTCAGATTCAGCATCCGAAGCAAGCCTGGTAGTATGCATCCTTAGATGTATCATCCATGCAAGTTTGGTCAACATAGGGCTTATAGTTACTTGGAAATGAAACCTGCACCAAAAACTTTAACCTGTTCACTCAACCGGAAAATGTAGGTCAGATTCAGCATCCGAAGCAAGCCTGGTAGTATGCATCCTTAGATGTATCATCCATGCAAGTTTGGTCAACAAAGGGCTTATAGTTACTTGGAAATGAAACCTACACCAAAAACTTTAACCTGTTCACTCAACCGGAAAATGTAGGTCAGATTCAGCATCCGAAGCAAGCCCGGTAGTATGCATCCTTAGATGTACCATCCATGCAAGTTTGGTCAACATAGGGCTTATAGTTACTTGGAAATGAAACCCACACCAAAAACTGCACCAAAAATGTTAACCTGCTCCAAAAACATTAACCTGGTCATTTCTTTGCTGAAATTGCAGCATCTGAAACTTTGACTGGTACAATGAAACACACTAGAACCATCTTCCATGCATGTCTAATCAATATAGGACATAGAAGTACTTAAAAAGAAAACTGCTCCAAAAAACTTAACCTGGGACGCCAACGCCGACACCGACACCGACGCCGACGCCGAGGGTATTACATAAGCTCCCCCAACTTCGTTGAGGTGAGCTAAAAATAGGTTAATCCTCAACATAAGCCTTTATCATTGGATTAACTTTACCTTTTTCAGAATCCCTTCCTTGATGAACTCTCGGCCTGGTGTGAGGATTTTGGGTGCTGACTTGTCGAAGCATTTCTGTATGCTGAGCATTTTTTGGAAGTTCTCATGTTGCTTTATGTGGTTATTTATATGAATGGCTATGTCACTGACTTTCTGAACAGCCTCTGAATAAAGGGGAAAAAGATTCTTGAAGAAGTCAATTTATTACAGAAAACATCAATTTAAATCATTTCTTTGAGCTGGAAGTCATTGTAAGAAAATTTATTAACACATCTGAATTGCTGTCACCAACATTTATCAGCATATAAAATTTGATGAAAATCTTTTTTGTCAGTTTTTTTAATTCTTTTTACTAAGCTAAATATAAAATAGAACACAGACAAATAGAAAAAGGGAGAAAGGATAGTCAAAGCAAACACTACTGTAGATTCCTTATTTTTTGCGAGTACTTCTTATCACCAAATTGCTCTTTAACGTCAAATGTGAGAATTTACATTGGCAAGTGGAAGGATGATCAAGAGAATTACCATGGATTTCAGCACCATTAAGACAAAAATGAGTATTTTCATTACGCGAGCGATGCTTCTCGCGAAATTACACGATTATAAATTCCTTGCATTTAATTAGGAATTTACTGTAAATGCCCCAGCCCTATCCATGGCAGGTAAAAAAAGAATCCCAAACTCAAATGTGGTGTAAAAACATGTATATAATGTCAAATTAATGTTACCTCTTAGTGTCTCGTAGTCATGGTGATCTGTTGAGGTGTTTTCTAATAGGTCCTCCAACAGTAACTTGTATCTACAAAAATTTACACATTAAGCAGAACATAGGTAATCAGAGATTACAGAGCTCACCTCAACGAATGTTGTCTTTAAGTAAGGCAAAGTCACACAATTAACCAACAAAAAGTGTACATTCCAAAAATGAAAATATTTAAGCAATTTTGATCTGATACTTTGAATAGACCTACATAAAAAATTTAAACTAGTTCTTCTTCATGAAAATGTAATCAAAATCCAGAATCTGAAGCAAATTTGAGAGTTTTCATCTCTTGATGCAATGTTTGTGCAAGTTTGGTTTATACAATGTTATGTAAGCCTTATAGTTTTTTGGTATTAGACTTGCACCCATAACTTTTACCTGGTCTATTATCTGAAAAATGCATGTCGAATTCAGCATCCGAAGCAAGTCCATTAGTTTGCATCCTAAGATTTATAGTCCATGCAAGTTTGCTCATTATAGGGCTCATAGTTAATTGGAAATGAAACATGCATCAAAAACTAACATTTTTACTCATCCACAAAAAGTAGGTCAGATTCAGCATCTGAAGCAAGCCTGGTAGTATGCATCCTTATATGCATTATCCATGCAAGTTTGGTCATTAAAGAATCATAGATACTTGGAAATGAATCATGCATTAACTTTAACCTATTCACTCAACCGGAAAATGTAGGTCAGATTCAGCATCCGAAGCAAGCCTGGTAGTATGCATCCTTAGATGTATCATCCATGCAAGTTTGGTCAATATAGGGCTTATAGTTACTTGGAAATGAAACATGCACCAAAAACTTTAACCTGTTCACTCAACCGGAAAATGTAGGTCAGATTCAGCATCTGAAGCAAGCCCGATAGTATGCATCCTTAGATGTATCATCCATGCAAGTTTGGTCAACATAGGTCTTATAGTTACTTGGAAATGAAACCTGCACCAAAAACTTTAACCTGTTCACTCAACCGGAAAAGTAGGTCAGATTCAGCATCCGAAGCAAGCCCGATAGTATGCATCCTTAGATGTATCATCCATGCAAGTTTGGTCAACATAGGTCTTATAGTTACTTGGAAATGAAACCTGCACCAAAAACTTTAACCTGTTCACTCAACCAGAAAAGTAGGTCAGATTCAGCATCCGAAGCAAGCCCAATAGTATGCATCCTTAGATGTATCATCCATGCAAGTTTGGTCAACATAGGTCCTATAGTTACTTGGAAATGAAACCTGCACCAAAAACTTTAACCTGTTCACTCAACCGGAAAATGTAGGTCAGATTCAGCATCCGAAGCAAGCCCGATAGTATGCATCCTTAGATGTATCATCCATGCAAGTTTGGTCAACATAGGGCTTATAGTTACTTGGAAATGAAACCTACACCAAAAACTGCACCAAAAATGTTAACCTGCTCCAAATACATTAACCTGGTAATTCCTTTGCTGAAATTGCAGCATCTGAAACTTTGAATGGTGCAATGAAACACACTAGAACCATCCTCCATGCATGTTTAATCCATATAGGACATAGAAGTACTTAAAAAGAAAACTGCTCCAAAAAACTTAACCTGGGACGCCAACGCCGACACCGACACCGACGCCGACGCCGAGGGTATTACATAAGCTCCCCCAACTTCGTTGAGGTGAGCTAAAAATGTTATAATAAATCCATAAATAGTGGATTTAAATTTTAAACCCAACTTTTTTTTAATATCAGAGACATTTTTAATATTATAGAGACATATTAACAAAACGTATCTTTACAAATTGCACAGTATTACCTAGGAACTCTCTGTACTGGAGTAATGAGTAGTGCATTGACCTTTAACCCCATCACGTCTGGCCTCTCTTCCTGTTTCTGTATGAATTCATTAAAGCCTGGACTTTTCTGCCTCCATTCCTACAAAAACATAGCATGATGTTTATAATAGTGTTTTACTGTACATGTTCATTACTTGCAATATCTGAAGCAAGTGTTATGTCATTAAATGCTTTTTTTCTTTCACATTTGGTTGTAAATTTTTTCTAGGAATTGACTTGTTTCAAGGCTAAAAGCAAATAACCAGCAAATATAAGTCATAGGCAATATCTGAAGTGAATTCGAGGTTTTCATGGACTTTAAAGTGGTTGCAAAAAGAACTTTCCTTAAGCTTGTACACAAAACACAGTTATTTCTTCATAGTCAGAAACCCAGTCAGTAACTACAGTACAGGCAACGCGGATCCCGTATTAGACCGCGTCCCCTCCGCGGTGTATTAATCCTTTCCGCGTTACACCGTCGCGGGTTTTGATCGCGGTGCTACCTGAGACCGTGTTTACACCGCGGCGGGGCCAGCTACCGTTATTCGTCCGCTAAGATGTTCTTACCTGTAAAGTATTGTCGATTTTTAATCGTGTCGAGATGAGGGGGGGGGGGGGGGGGGGGGTTTACGAGCACGTTGATATTATAGATTTCTACCATTACATGGATTCTTTAAAAATTCATTTTTTAAGTTTTATCAAATTGTTTAATAAAAGACATCTTTTTTTTTCTTTTTTTTGTACCAATAGTCACTCAAAATTAATTAATTCTCAAACACGTCTGTTAACAGTAATACATGTACAGTATAGGATGAAATAAATTCGAATAATTTATCGAATATATTAACTTAAAGTTTATTTTCAAAATCAATAAATCCACCCCAAATGATCTTCAAATTGCTAAAAAGGTATAATTAAAATTTAAAGAATGCCATGAAATCGCTTCTCTTTATATGCACTGGTGTAATCCGGTGTTCACAATTAGCCCGTGCAGTTGCAGTTACATGTAGCTATGTGTTTATTTATCTGTGAGATTATATCAGTCATTTGGTTTCATTTAGATTCTGTATACATATCTGTTATAAATAATAGCATGAAAAACGATGATAGATAGTGATACATAATTACAATTAAATTTTAACAAAACACGCGTAAGTGTAGGAATACCGTTGTTCCATTATTATGCGTTACACTGTAAGACTATGAACTAAATATCGACGATTTTTATTTGTTTGTTTTTTTTGGTGGGGGGGGGGGGGTTATTGTTAATAAAATAATCACAGGTCATTTTATTCAGAATATCAATAATATCATAGCTAGTATTTGAATGTATTTCTATTTTCTGCTCTTTTCGAAAAATACTAAAATCATGTCAATGAACATAAACAAATTTCAGATTTCTCCGGTCCAAATAAAACACAAACACAAATATGGGCCCTTAAAATATTTGAACACACAACACAGAAATTAACTTATTTTAATCAGCAAGTTGCCAAGCTTCAAGTTTTCAGATGTCTGTGTTACCGTTCGGTTTTCCTCAGGTAAGTTTGGTGTGGAGTGGAGCTTCCTCGAAGCGGACGAGAAGCCCCGAGGGAACATCGCTGTCTAGTGTACATACTACCTATATACACAGGATGTTACCTGAGTGTATTACCTGTATGCGTTTTCCTACGACATTGTAAAACGAAGCCGTTTTTTTCATGTGTAGCTCATGGATTGAAATGCATGAAATAAAGAATTCAATGTTTTTGTTGCAGACAGAATCCTTCTTAAATTTTTTGTTTCAAATAAATATTATCAATAATTCGACAATTTTAATATACTGTTTTTTTCTTAATCAAATTTTATAACAAAAATACTTCTTTTTTTTTACCACCAAAATCTGTCGTTGTAATCTGGCGACAAAAAGGGAAGTAATTCAAATTACATGTCATGTACATATGCTAAACGAAAGAAGAAAGTGGATCAAAAACAAGTCTCTCAATAAATAACAATAAAACTAAGACAAAATCCACAAATGGTCAATAAACTGATAAATCAGCGGTAGTTTTATTCGCTAGACTTAAGAAATTGATATACTGATCAAAAAGGAGGAAAAACGATCATGCACGTGCCTTAATATTGTGATATTTTTCTTCTCTCTCTCTCTCTCTCTCTCTCTCTCTCTCTCTCTCTCTCTCTATCTACTAACTGGTACAGATATGAACAGACACAAAATAACATAGCAATGGATCATTATTTGATTTAATTAATATCAAATACTTCATTAATTTGTTTTAAAAGTTTTTTTTTTTACTTTTATTCTTTTTATACACTCCGTTTAAAAAAAGCAACAATAATTTGACACAAATTCCAAAGCTTATATCGCATCTGAAAATGATATCGATGAAATAACAATGAAACAATGAATCAAATGTGTTGTTGAATGGCTAGACAACGATGTGCACATCCAGCGAGCGTTACCCAAGGTATACTCTAAGACAGGTGTGAAACCCCCAAGGCATGTCGTTTCCTGCTCAGGCACTGCTAATCCCTATACACAGGAAATGATCGCGGCTAATTCTTAATACACAAAGAAACAGAATTTGTCAAAGAAAACAAAAATATATGAATTTTTGCATTGAATATTTATTAATATAAACTATAATTTCGTCTGTGAAGTTTATCATTACACCTGCACATCCTATCTTATCTATTGAACACGAAAATCGAGAAATATTAAAATTAAAAAGAAAGACATTGTTTTAAAAAGTAATACATGTTAATATGAAGGTGAAAAACGATATTTTTTCTTGATCTCTTGTATAAAGTTCACGTGCTCAAAGTTAACTCTAGATCTCGCCATCGAATGCTTTTCGGTTATTTAACAATTTGAGAAAAATGCCTGCACATTTATATAAAAGAGGGAAATAAATTAAAGAAAAGTTTTTTTTTAATTTGGGAACAGAACATAAACGACGAGAAATAAAGAAGAAAATAATTTTTTTCTTCATATCTTGGATAAAGAAAATTTAAGTTCACGTGCCCACTACATGTAACTGCAAATGCTCGTCATCGGATGTTTTCCGGTAATTTGACACTTTAATAAAAAGCCTGTACATTTTATATACAATAAATCGAAATTAATTAATAAACAATATGAAGATGTACATTTCTAAAAAGATTTACATCTTTTTTTTCAAATGAATGCTGAAAATCATTTATCGAAACTTAAACAGTCTGAGTTCAACATTTATTACAGTTTGCATATAATATGAAGATTTAAAAAAAAAAAGAATAAAATTTCTAGTATTTAATTTTGTTTCTTGATAGATTCTTAATAACACAAAATAATTAACCATTGCAAAGACGTAACAATTTAATAAAATTTTCTATTCAATTTCTGATATGTAATTTTAGAAACAAAAATAAACTTATTTTTTCTTAGTTTAAATTCTATTCATAGCAAAATTAATTAATAAACACACGTTTTTGTTTTGTTTTTTTTGTTACAGGGAAATTTCGCAAATTACAATTCGGGGAGATAACTCCCGTTTGTTTACGATACTAACTGTCAGTAATTGATCGATGATTTAACCGCGGCGGGGACAGGTAAGTGATGAATTTCCCGCGGAGGGAACGCGGTTTACCTGTCTACCTGGCCAAATACCGCGTTGTGATTATACCGCGGCGGGGACGCGGGAAATACGGGATCCGCGTTGCCTGTACTGTAGGTCACTAAGTAAGAGAAGCTTGAATGTCTGTATAATGACTTTCCTGTGAGGTGACAGAACTTCCCCTTTGGTAAATTACTAGCATTTTAGATTAAACTTGCCTCCAGTAAATATAATTGCAATTTGTTGCATTAATATTACCGGCACTAGAGGATGGTATTTTCAAATATTATACTTTCATATTAATTACTTGAATCTGATTCGTAGAGAAACATTTGTTAAAAAACACTATTACCCGCTGAATAATGAAGCCACGCCCTCCTGCGTAGCAACAGTCAACATTACTTGACGACGGGTGATATTCAAAAAAAATAGCGACTGCGCAGAATTTATGTGCACATGGTTCACTGTTATATGTATTTGTATAAAACATTCAGTATAATATAATAAATATTGCATGTAGTTGAGTGTAACATTGAAAATTTTCACCCCTCGAAAACCATTGTCAACCTCGGCTGCGCCTCGGTTGACAATGGTTTTCTTGGGGTGAAAATTTTCAATGTTACACTCAACTACATGCAATATTTATATAATAGCAAATCTACGTGTGGATAAAGTGATGGCAATCAGAGGTGATAAATTTACCTGCAGTAAAGTAATGGCATTTTCATGGTTGTTGGCATAAGACGAGTAGAGCTTGAGGAATGGTCCCATGTGTTTAAAGGCTTCCCCAATAGTGGTCTGTTCCATGTGTTCTAACAATGTCTTGTTCACTTCCATGATCTGTTCCACATTACTAAAGATTTGACTGTGAACTTCCTCTGGGATCAGACAGTTAAACCGCAAAGAAAAGTCAAAATGCTGGAAAAACAAAATTTAAACTCCTATTGATAAGTATGTACATGCATGAGTGAAATACACAGTGTACATCCATGAAAACTTGTTTTAAAAATCTACAGAGATCGAGTTTTAAAAATCTACAAAGTATATCATTTCTTATTTCAAAAAATTAGTTTACCACAAATCCAGGATAAACATCTCCTTCCGAAGAAGGAATCTTGGACTTTGAATTTTCACTAGAATTTAAACAGCTAAAAAGTAGTACATGTACTAACTTTATTTATGAGTTCTAGATGATTGAGGTAGGTTTTCTCTGTTTCAAATAATTCCTGAGTTATTTTAGCTCGCCTCTGGTCACGGCGAGTCTCCATTTGAGCACGTACAGCTTCTTCATCTCCATTACTGTTCTGAGACAACTCTGCTAACTCTTCCTCTGCTATTTCACTCAGAACTATTAAGAATGGAAAGAAAATTGAGCTAAAAATTGGAAGGAATACACAATTACCTGACAATTTATTATTACTCAACTGCTTTTAAATCATGACAGAAAACTCTGAAATTAAATTGAAGATATCTGTTAATCGCTCATGATTGGAAGGTTGAGGGTTGAATCCCTGGCAGCAATGCTCAAAATCAATATAAAACAGGTAGCAACTTTTCCTTTGCCAAGCCTTTGATCTTTAAAGTTGCTGGTCCTTCAAATGGGACCTTAAAAACTAGCCCCATCAACAGCAGGTGTTGGCGTAATAAAAATCCCTCAGTGCTCAATGGCCCAGCGTATAGGTCTACATAAGCAATTAACCATGATATAGTGATGGCTCTATATATGTGAAAAATTATTGAATGAGACGAATAGCAACAAACAGCCGATCATCCTGTTATAGTCTCCAAGTTTAATATTTTTTGTGATATTGAAGGATACTTGTCTTTCTTACATCAGAATTGTACATCATTCTTGAAAAATAAATGTTTCAGATGGATATAAAATGTATACACTTTTCAAATCAATGATATCAGTACAGACCCAGCTGGCATTATAGCTGATGCAGTCAATGTAAAGAATTTGTAACTGTATAAAGCATAACAATATAATAGCGAGCGCAGCGAGCGTCGCGAAGCGACGCTCGTCACTGCGAGCTCTTAAAGCAACACCTGTGCGAAGAGAAAATTCGGACTACTGCACATTCATTCGATAGAATTTTTTGATGCCGTAATTTCGACCCACAATGCATCACTTGTCTTAGTTACGTTCTCGCGAGAATAACGAAAAATATTCAACAAAAAATTTATTCGCCTTTATTTAATGGATATATTTAAGACAAATAGAAAACGAAACGTTCTTCATTAACTTTCAGCACTGTTCAGGGTTTTTTCTTGGTATTGCAACTTACATACGACGTCATGTGACGTCAGAGTCTAAACGCACCAAATGTCACGTGCGGTTTGACGAGCCCGATCTAAATCAAAACAACAGAAGTCTGCGCTCGCTTTAACGGTCGCACCGTCAACATATTATCTACATCCATTATTAACATTTAAGCAATAAAGTTATCATGATCTTACACTAGTTAGAATAATCAAACTGTGTCTCAGGACAAGCCCTCACCAAACCAGGTCCATTGGACATTTTTCATTTTAATGATAGAACATTCTATCTAAATCTTACCCCTGAATCGACTCCTGGTTGACAACATGTTGAATATCTAAAAGTTATAAACAGCTTTTCCTCCACTAACTTGACTAGGCTAATGTTCAATTTTCACGTTGAATGACATGTCAGGCAGGCAAAAAAACAGTCCTAAATAAAGAATATTTACAATGTCAAATTATTATATGTATGTGTACCCAAGAATGTTCAGTGATATTATACAGTGATAACTGCGTAGCTGATACCAGGGACCTATATACAGTATATAGGTCCCTGCTGATACAAGAGGTAACTTGAGGAAATTCGGCAGGAAAAAAACTCAACAGTTCAACACAGTGAGCATTAATAATGTGCATATTCAAAAAGGACGTGTTAAAAATGTTATTTTTATATAATAATTATATGAATAAGATCTTCTGAGTTGTAACTGAGCTCACCTGACTATGACAGATGTTCGACAGTTTTGCCTTTTGGTATCTGCAAAATATAAATCAAATCTCCCGCGGCAAATTCCATAAGGATAATGCATACATAAAATATTCGACTAATTGGAAATCCTTTTCTGAGTTGCTGAATTTATGGTATATTGCCCCATATTAAAGCGACATATTTTCCCTTAAATTAACCATATTTCAATATAAATAAATATATGATAAAGTTTATGTAATACGCACGCATTTTGTCAAGTTTCAAGAACGAGTTAATTTCTTGGTTGAAGAAAAAAGAGGCGCTGCTCAGTGGCTGGTGACCCCCCGACTTCAGGGACTGTCTGAGTGTCTCCTACAGGCACAAATGACAAACACTTGTGTCTCAATATGCAAATAACTGGACAGGTTTTTTTTTAAAAAAAATAATGATATATATATTTGATATATTTTAAGTACTGTGTCTGTATGTTGTTAAAGCATCATCTCACATCTGATCACTAAAGTGAACATGCCATCGGACATTTTCAAACTCAAAGACTAAGCATACCTAATGAATGCTACAGTTTCTGCAGCTATGAAAAAGTGTTAGCTGCAATAATGAAGCCCTCTTTGGTTATATCAATTTTCAGCATGAATGCAAGTCCAAGAAAAGAAAAATCAAAGGGTAACACTTTGCAGCCAGGAGCCTGGGTTCAAATCCTGGCCTGATCAGTTGCAGTTTTCTCCTTGCCAGTTATGATTAGCCATTTTATTATAAGTTTGGAAATATTTTTGCAGAATTAATACAACCAAAGAGGGCTACATTTTTGCTGCTAACACTATTTCAAAGCTGCAGAAATGGTAGCATTATGGTTTTACAATTTTGAATTTAGTCTTGGACCATTATAAGCACTATAAATAGTGTGCATGGTTAGGGATGTATTTCTATTACATGTTCTCTTTCCAGCATTGAACAGTCATCTAACCTTTTATTCCCTATCTCTATAGACATATTTTTTACCAAACAATTAATATTAGTTATGTAGACACTTAGAGGGTCATACGTATATATGTGGGTCCTTGAAAAAATATGCCTCGCCCAATGTGTATTTTTTCAAGGACCCCACATATTTTTCCTGTGGAAGATTTCTTAATAAAGATATTTTTTTTCTGAGTAAGCAAATCGTTCCATAATAATTGTTTACATTGTGACGTCGTTTAATGTTTAATGTTTATGTAACGTCAGTTATTAGGCTCTTTGCGTGTTCAAATGAATATGTACAACTTTATTGACTATGATCTGGGCAGTATGCACATGGAAGGGGCATATTGATTTGATGTGTGGTGGGTAGGTCACATGGAGGGGGCACATTAGCAATATGATGTGGGTAGACAGCTTAACATCGTTCCATGCAGTATTCTTCTCGACCAATGAAATTACACGATTTCTATCAGAGGCAGGATAATATATATTTTATCCACCTCCTGATCCTTTATATATAGCTATCTTCACAAACAAATAAAAAAAATTTTCTGCAGTCTGAAAAAAATTAAAAAAGAAAGGTTACTGGTATATAAATATACTATAAAGGGTTAGGATCATGATAAATAGATTAAAAGGACATTTTGGTAATACAGTATGCCTAGCATTAGGGAATGAAAGCTGATTGGCCAATGCTGCAAAGTGGAGAAAAAAAAAACAAACTGTGTGCAGAAAATCTTGCACTGTAAATTGCACTATATTTATATTTCGGGATGTACAGAGGGCATCATATTAATTTTTATATGATTTGTATATGTTAATTTTGTAGGGAAGGTGTGACATGGGATTGGATTTAGCTGTTGGGAGAGTTACCTACCTTTTTTGCATTATTTGAAAAATCAAGGTTTGTGGTCATTAAATATTTCATTCCTCAGTTAATTCCTGTGTAATCAAATAAATTGAATTCTTCATTTGTAATCTGAATGTAAACTGTGAATGATTTTACTTGAATAAAAATTAGGCCTAGAAAAAAAAATATGTTTGTTTCCGCTTTCAAACTGAAAAAATATAGGGTAGGTAGGTAGGCAATTTTTTTTTTTTTTGAAAAAATTTTTTTTGCTTCTTTAATCAAAATGTGTATAGAAGTAACATTAATGACAAAAGAAATGGTGTTTTCAAGCATTACTGTGACTTAACTTATAATAGAAAGGTGACCCAAACTTCTTTCTGTCTTGAAAAGCTTGCAAAGTTGGAGGCTATAATTCCCTGGTTGAAATCTTGTATATCATGGGACAAAAGCATTAAAAAAATATTTAGGGGCGGCACTATAAATTAGGGTCAGTCGGGAAAGCGGAAACAAACATATTTTTTTTCTAGGCCTTACCAGTATCTCATGAACTATATCAATGACATGTGTTTATCATAAGGTAAATTTTCCAGTTTGGGATTCATGAGGAAATCTTAAATTATTAACAGTAACAGTTTTCTCCCCATTAATTCTGCTTGTCTAACACCTTTAATTGTTGAATCTATGTGAATTTATATATTTGATATATTTATATATTTGATATTTTTGCTGTAGTTCAAAATGAGAAATTCAGAATGAATAACAAAAGCTAGAAAAAATTCTTGTTTGATCATCACGATTACAATTGAGGCCATACATTTACTGAAATTCATCAGTAGCATTATTTCTGAAAGAATATTTCTTTGCTGTTTATTCTACTAAACAACACAATTATCATGATTATGTATTTAAGGTTTGAAGTTTATATTTTGTTTGGGAATAAAACTTAAAAAAGATATTGTATAGCTAAGTGTCAAGTGATGATTTCCAGGGTTTAAACTTAACGCTCGCCCACTCGCAAATTGCGAGTAAAAATTGGTGTGGGCTCATAAAATTTCTAAGTTGCTTGCCCACATGGCGAATAAAAATTCTGCAGGGGGCCGAATTCATTCCCAGTCCCCTTACTGAAAAACAGACATTTTATGCAGGTTTTTGATTTAAAACTACAGAAAAATGAAATAAATCACAGCAGTATGGTCCTGTTGTTCGTCAATATCCATCATCGTGTCCATTTAAAGTACTACACGATTTGTGAAATTCGTCTTTTTTCGTAATCCGAATTTCCTCCAACCCTCTGTAAATGAGAGATATACAATTTTAATAACTCCCAACTACTCAGTCATATGAATAGTAAGTGTTTTCACCTATTTCAGATATGTTGTAGTTAAAATATTTTACCTAGAAAATCTTATTGTGTCATTGTCAATTTATCAGTTGAAGACATGTACCAGCTAGGGCTACGTATTTAATATACAAGTATTACCAAGTAAAAAAAAAAGATAGTAAAAATGTTGATTGAATACAATTTTATTTCCTTTGATTGAATATTTATATGACATCTAATTTTTATAAAGTAAGAACTCCAATTTTAAACAGATGAATTTATATATGTATTTCATTTGTATCTACTTTTTGTCCCAGTATCTATGCTTTTTAAAAAAAATCACAGAGACTGTGGGCTAACAAATTTAGCAGTGGGCTCCTAAATTTGAAATGTAAGGAGCCCACATGGCTAGTTGAAATTTCAGTTAAGTTTAAACCCTGCAGTAGTTAGTGCTGACTTACACAAATGTTTAGTTATACTTCTAATGATTTTCACTACACAGTATCATTTAAATTTTTTCTGCATTATATTGTAGATGTGATAATGCAGTGAAATGATTGATATAAAATAATAATGAAGAAAAAAGGAGGAAGTCTAATTATTCAAATATGCCCGTAAAAGGATTAAGGTAAGGAGAAATATTGCATGAAGGGAGATAAATCTTATGCCCTTCAGGTATAGTATGCAGAATATTTCCTTTTTATCTCACCTCATTGATGTTAAGATAAGCATAATTATTATGAATACTTGTAGCATCAGCCTATTAAGTTAAAGTTTTTGCAGCTGAATTCATTTTAGACTAATAATGTGTTTAAAGGTGTGACTGTTAGGGCGAGCTCAGTCCTATACACAGCTTACAGTTGAATCGTTGATCCGCCTCTTCAGACGTCAAACTGCATGAGACAAAGTCTAAACTGTGATGTCACATGACATCAGAATTTACGGAGACAGGTCCTGTGCAATATTTGAAAATGTAATATGTTTAGAGTAGATGAAAATATTCTTTTTTACTTTTTAGCTTTGTGCAAATAAAGAAAAGTAAAAGTATCTTGGTAAAGAATAATTATTCTTGGTCTTTTGTATGTTTTAAAATAAATTTGCATGGAACCCTAGTAGCGAAGGAATTCTTTTAATGTTGAACAGGAAAATTTGCCTGACGCATGTACAGATTTCATTCTGAATTTCCTCTGTTCTTACAAATTAGTCTATTGAGTTCACTTTGTGAGCGTTGCTTCGCAACACTCGCTGCGCTCGCTATAAATCCTTTTCTTTCCAAACTTGAAGTAATGGTGTATCTGGAGATGCAGACTACAAGAATTAGTTCAAAGGATGCATCTGGCTCACATTTGATACAAATTTTGGCTACTGATGAGGTCTACTCTTGAATATAAGGGACCTGGTCAAGTATCGGTTACCGAGGCCGATCAAGATTACTTAGAATTTTTAAGTAAAGGGAATTTAAATTTGTTCGATTGATTTTCCCTGCTCTCATGAAGTGAAAGATAATCAAGAAAAGGCAAAATTAGAGTGTATGTCAAAAAATATCAATTGAACAATTTAACTTCTTGATCTTGTCCTTAGATTTTGATTTGCATTTGAAAAACTTCAATCATTGCCATAAGCTGCCATTTGGGGTCATCAATGTTCTCACAAATACATCTTGTTTACTTTTTGTAAGAACAGAAGGACCATGAGTAGTCTTTCTAATATTCAAGCATCCTTGGTAGTAAAGAGTAGAATTTCTTATTCATTGGAGGTAGGGTGGAGCTTTAATAAGGTACCAAATTTTGTCTTTGTTACCGTATATACTCGCCTATAAGTCGGTTGTATTTTTTAGTTTACTTGGCAGGGATTTGCCATTGCCCCTCTTATAAGTCTGTATAATTTTTTGCCAGAATCAGATGACAATTTCTGATGAATGCTTTGATGTTTTACCCTGATTTCATTTGATATTTAAGAAATGAAGTCGATATTTAACCTTATTATAATAA